GAGACCAATTGTTCAAATTCATGGTCTTTCCCAAAATCATTTTGAGTTTTCTTCAAAGGATTCAAAAACTCATGTATTCAACTTCATACAAACTCCATATCTTCATCAATTAAGCATGCATGTAAATTCTTGACTCCAATTCTATTCCAAGTGGTACAAATGACACTTATAATCATGGAACTCATGAACATTATGCATGCATGTGAGATTTGGTGCTCAATTCTTCTTGTTCAACATGAATCATGCTTGAATGTATAAAATCATGGCAATTATGCACATGCATGTACATACAAGCTCCAAATTCATCAAATTCAACTCAAATTATGTTCTTGATTACTATCTAACTTTGAATTCACAAAATTACAACTTCAAACTAATGAATCAATGCTCAATTACTCACCTAGGAGCTCCAATCACTCAAATTCTAGCTAGTTCTTTGAGTTTAGCTTCTAATTCTCAAGCTTTGAGCCAAAATTCATAATTTGAGCCCTTCTCTCTCTCTAGAGCTGTCTCTCTCTCTCTCTCCCTCTAGAGTACAGTCAGATTTTGAGTTCAACAAATGAGACACTTGAGTGTATATTGGCCTATTTATAGGCTTGCTTAGTCATATTGATCAAGTCTAAGTAATGGCACTCTAATTTAATCGTTATGAATCCAATTACTTTGATTCGAATAAATTTTCAATTAAATTTCACCGTAGGCTCTAAAAATTATGTCGATCACAACGGCGTGGTCAATTTCGATTTCTGTGGTCTATAAGGCCTTCAATTTAAATTCTAAAGCAGAAAATCAAACAGATTTTCTTACGGTGAACAGATAAAAATTCAAAAACATATATAATCATGTAATTACCACTCAAAATCATATCAAGCATATAATTATAATCATAATCATAATTAAGATCAATTACCATAACACGGAGCAGAGTCATCACAGAGACTCTGTACGAACCTGAAATTTTTTTGGACAACTAATTAGTTTATTAATAATAATATTAAGTCAATAAATTGTGATTATTAGATTATTAAATTATTATATTAATAGCATCGTGATTAACACCAATATTAAATTCCTTTAAATAAATTTTTTTTTTATCCTTTTGGAATTAAATTTTTGTATCTAAACACAGTTGCGGAAAACTAAATGAGTTAAATAAATAATAATCAAGTTAGTTAGAGGATAGTAGGAAGAAAAACATCTAGTGACTAGGACATACATATATGTATATATATATTCACATTGATTTTCATATTAAACATAGAAAAAAAAAATCAGAATTTTTGGGCAGAGGAATCCGGCTGTTTTCTTCCCAAGGGGCTGCTGCCAAAGCATGCCAAAGCATGCTTAGAAACATCCTACAAGTCTATCCTTGTAGATCATAATTCCCAAGCCAAGAAGAATAAAATAAATAAATTAAAAAAAAGGGGCCCCAAACTCCTACATAAGGAACCCACATTCAGCCCAGCCATTCTACTATTCACGTAGCTGAGCAAAGAAGGAAAAAGAGAGGAGAAAAAGAGAGTAGAAAAGAGAAGAGAAAAAGAGGAAAAAGAGAGGGTACTTGGTGAATACCAATTTCAAACGTAGTTTTGAGAAGTGTTTGCAAAAGCTCTTGAGGTGAGAATACATCGCCTCTATCCTCCCTTAGACACTGAATTTATATATGCAAGACTAAGAATGGTTAAGTCATATATAGCAAAATAGTACCATGCATGTTTAAAATTTTGATAGGATGACGGTTTCATTATGTTATAATTTCATATTCCTTCTTGCAAACATAGATATATGGCTTAGCTACTATTTTTATGTGGTCAATATTCTCCATTGTTGCAATAATCTTACAAGAGAGTAAAATGAGATGAGAATGGCTCATTTTTACCTGAAACTAAGATTCTTTCCCACTGTTTCAGACTTTATCGGATGAAAAGAGGGCTCTAATAAATTGAAAATAATTGATGTTAAAAATCTGTGTATACTGGAAGTATATGTAGGTGTTATACTGTTTAAAATTTTTATAAAATCATTGAACACCATTTTCTTACCGAAACAAATATTTTCCCTAAGCATCGCTTACTACACAACAGAAGCAGTGGCTTCAAACAGATCCCATTTTCTCTACAAATGGTATTTTTCTGCACGACTACTTGGGATAGTTAGATATAAGAGTTATCTTTCATTTGCCGCTGATTTTACAAAAAATGGATAAGTCTAAAAGGAGAAATTGTAGTTTTACTAAAATGCGACAGAATCTATCCAGTTTTCTTAGAAAAATTATTTGACCATCTTCTGTTGATTCTCAGTCTTCGAATCCCTCTGGAAATATGTTCTAAACTCAAGTATCTAACAAGCCGTTCTAACCATACCTCATTTTGACGCTGTTTGAGGCTGCTTTTTATTTTTCCAACACAGATCACCTGTGCTGGAAGTACTGTAACTCACTGCCCAGAAAAACCAGTTTTCTTCCAAAATTTATTTCTCCTTTTTAAAATCGTTTTTAGCTCTGGTATTCTTCTCGGAATATTTTCCTAACTCAATGAACTAGTGCTAGTTAAAATATCGTAATGGTTGAACATTGTTTGGTATGGGTTTCATATTTTTTTAATTTCTTTTCTGACCATACAGTGCTGAAAGAAGAAGTGTGTGAATTCCTAAGAAATCTTGTGATAATTCCTAAGACATTCTATCATATTTATTTTGGTTGTCATACACGATTGTGTTGTGCTATATAAACATTATGTCACTGTAGTTTTCAAACTAAAACTCGTACATGCATCAAAATGTGAATTGGACAAAGTAAAGGGACACGAAATTGAACAGATACATTAAAATTTAAAAGTGATGGGGTGAGCCTGGTTTAGAATCTTGCGCAAGTGAGTTGCGAACCCTAACATGACACAGGAAGGTATTTCGGCTCTTATCTGTACAGGCAATATAAGGTTGGTGGTGCGGGTGTCACAACATAGACCGTTCCCTTGGGGCAGACCGTGATGTCACGACTCGGGTACCCCTTGTGCGTGGGCATCATTGGTTGTTACAGTAAGTAACATTTGAATATTTGACCAAGGGGGAGTCAGAATTGCCCGTGGCCATTGCTTAGCGGTTGAGTGGAAATAGCGCTCCGCGGGGAGTTTTTAAATTGACCTGTTAAACTAAATCTATGTGAACTTAAAAAGAAAGGTTGGCATTTTTCCTTATTATGAAATACTACATCCGCTTGCCATTGTTTTTATTGTCTGTTGTTAATATTTCAACCAATAGCATTCCGGTTATGTTTGTTAAATGCTGCTTGTTATTCTGTTATTATACAACATTTATTATTTGTGAGTATTATTATCGGGGTGGGTATTTTCGGGTTGTAGTATCTTATTGAGCTCGTCACTCATTGGCATTCCCATTGCTCTAGCGTTTTATGCCAGGTATCGAAGAAATCGAAGGAAGCGTTGAGGCCTTGCAAGGCGACATTCAGCCTTGGATAGCTTGAAGAATGCCCAAGATTCCATGAACCATTTTCCTAGTTTTATTTTTATATTTGTGTGTTTTTTATTTTTTTATTTTAAGACTAAGTTTTAAGTTTATTTGGATTTGTAACTTTAGAACTTTTAATTTATGGGATGTTAGTTAATAGAGTTTGGTAAACTTGGTGGCAACATGAAGGAAGAGTTCTTAATTAAGAAAATTAAAATTTTAAGTTCTAAATCTTATTATGATGTCCTTAAATTTTGGGGCGTCACAATATGGTATCAGAGCTTAGGTCTAGAACCCTTAAGACCTTGGGTAGGCCTAAGCACGTGTCATTTACTACACTTTAATTAAAAAACATTTGATGACCTAAGACCATACTGAAAATGTAACAACGTTGTGTTCTCCTTATAGGATGTCAAGCCCATCTCATAATGAGGACTGGCTCTTGGATCTCGAACTTGAAGAAGAACCCTTATTAACTGACCCAGAGGTAGGGGCGGAAACTTCAGAGTCAGTCCATGAGGAAGAGGACCCGGATGAGGGTCCGAAAGAGGAGACGATGGATGAAGAGGAGCCCGAGCTTGAGGAGGAAGATCCGAAGGAATATTCAGAAGAAGAACCGCTAGACGAAAAAGACACAGAGGTAGACGCGGAAGTGGAAGTCGTGGAACCCTTGGCCGCCATTCCGCCGGAAGAGTTTGGTTAGGTGAAAAGTGACACTGAGTCCGACCTTATCTCCTATATTGAATATGCCTTCGAAGAAGGTGAAGCGGACTCGGGGAACGTAGTGCAGATAAGGGCATTCCCTATAGGGCTAGAGGCGTATGTTAAGCTAGAACCACTAATACCTTGCGAATGGAAACACCGAAGGGGGGACGGCAAATATCTGGAGCCTGTGCGAGTTATCCGGGAGTTGGCAAGGGCCATGTATGAAGTAAGACCGCTACCACCAGCCCTGGAAGACAATTACACCAATTTCTTCCACCAACGAGACATCTTCCCGGCAGCCCCACCGGTTGGAAAGCTCGTACCCACGAACGGGACAATTGACTTCTTCGACCCACTCACCTACGAAGAAGTCCTTGTAAGGATCTTGAGCCAACATGCGGGAATGGGAGGGCTCAAGCTGTTAGTCTGTTGGAAGTGCTATGGGCTGTATGATGAGAGTTGGGAGCATGCCTGGCAAGTGCATCAGCACTACCTATGGCTTTTTGTTTGAGAGGAGGAGAGACTGAAGAGGGTAGACTAGGCGGATAAACAATTTTGTTGGAATTTCATTGTAAAAGCCTAGTCTAATAGTGGTTATGAAATGGGGTGAATAATCCCCTCGGTCTGGTGATAAATGTAATTTTTGGTCATGTAACCGATCCTTTGTTGCAATGAAAAGTTTCAGTTCTAGTTAAACTTAGTGAATGCTTGTTCGCATAAAATAAATAATTAAATAAGTACTTACATCGTGCCGATAGTAAACAAATGAGCAAGACCAAGTGTCCCTCGCCTCATTTCTCTTCGAGGGGGAGGCCGATTTCTGGTGGACAATGATCAAGGAAAGTCGTCGAGTGGCAGAACTATCTTGGAGACAGTTCGAGGAATTGTTTATGGAAAAGTACTTCCCAAACTCGGTGAGGCAAGAGATGATCCAAGAATTCCTCCAATTGAAACAAGGGGGCATGACTGTGACACAGTATGCCAATCGGTTTGAGGCCCTTTCTCGCCATGCCACAGCTATAGTGGCAAATGAAATAGATAAGGTAAGGCGCTTTGAGTGGGGACTCAACTCGGGACTCCGAGACAAGCTGGTCGCAGTGCAGCTATCTACTTATGCACAGGTAGTAGATAGGGCTCTTGCTCTAGAAAGAGAGAAGATGGATACTGCAAAGACTCAAGGTCAGCAGTCCAGAGCCAATCAGCAAAGAAGCGGAGGACCCTCAAGGAACAATAGGACCCTTGCCACTTCGGTACCTTATACTAGGGGGCCACAACAACAACAAGGGTACAATACCGAGCAGCGTAATGGGGAAAGGACTAGAAGGTGCTATGAGTGTGGCCAAGAAGGTCACTTCAGGAACAACTGCCCTCTAAGGTCAGACTACTATATCAATCAAGGAGGGGTTGCTCAACGGAACAAATGCGCGCCAACCCAAGGAACACGAACTGTGCAAAATTCCCAATCCGGAAGAGGTCAACCGCCAGCTAATCGGAATGTGGGACAATCGAGAACTCAACAACCAGGAGATGCCAATGCAAGGAAACCTTGGGTGCCAAATCAGGGTGCCCCCGGGAGAGTCTTTGCACTCCAAGAAGGAGAAGACACCGGAAATCCTTCAGTGATCCAAGGTATACTCATCCTTATGAACTCGTGTGTACAAGTCTTGTTTGATTCTGGAGCATCACACTCTTTCATATCTGCTAAATGTGTTACAACTTTGGGATTAGAACCTGAACGATTAGAAATGCCTATGAGTGTAGCCTCACCGCTAGGAGGTCAAACTCGAGTAGATCTTGTATGCAAATCATGTGAACTAGGAGTCTCCAGTTTGCGTTTGACTTGCGACCTACGGGTTATGGAAATGTCAGACTTTGACGTTATCCTAGGAATGGACTGGTTATCAGCCCATAGAGCCACCATTGATTGCTATCAAAAGACGGTGACTGCTTACTCTCAGGACGGAACGCGATTCCAATTTAAGGGGGATAGGCAAGATTCTCTATCACCGACACTTCGGAAATCAAAGTGGCACGACCACCTAGCTAGATGGTTAGCCAGCTTAGTTCTGGAAGACAAGGACCGTATGGAACTAGGGTTACCTCGTGTGGTACGCGAGTATACTGATGTATTTCCGGAGGAATTACCAGGACTACCCCCAAAGCGAGAAGTAGACTTTACCATTGAACTACAACCTGGCACATCACCGATCTCAATGGCACCACATCGTATGGCACCAGCTGAACTGAGAGAGCTAAAGACACAGTTGCAAGAGTTGTTGGACAAGGAATTTATAAGGCCAAGCACGTCCCCATGGGGAGCACCAGCCTTATTCGCTAAGAAGAAAGATGGGACACTTAGGTTGTGCATTCATTACCGCCAACTCAATAGAGTCACCATTAGGAATCGGTATCCACTACCTAGGATTGATGACCTCTTCGATCAGCTTAGAGGGGCAAAGTGTTTCTCAAAGATAGACCTCAGATCTGGGTATCACCAGTTGCGTATTCGGGAAGAAGATATTCCTAAGACTGCATTTCGAACCCGTTACGGCCACTATGAGTTCGTAGTGATGCCATTCGGCCTAACCAATGCACCAGGTGTGCTCATGAGTTTAATGAACAAAATATTCACGCCTTACTTAGATCAATTTGTGGTAGTTTTCATTGATGATATTTTGGTGTATTCCAAGTCTGAAGGAGACCATGAACAACATTTGAGAATAGTACTTCAAACCTTGAGGGAGAACCAACTGTATGCTAAAGCTAGTAAATATGAATTCTGGATAGAGGAAGTAAAATTTTTGGGTCACGTAGTGTCTGAAAAGGGAGTATCGGTGGACCCAACTAAAGTAGAGGCAGTGACAGAATGGAAGCAACCTAAGAACACATTCGAGATTCGTAGTTTCTTAGGGTTGGCCGGTTACTATCGAAGATTCATTTAGGACTTCTCAAGGTTGGCCAAACCAATGACACGCTTGACTAAAAAAGGAGTTAAGTTTGAATAGAACGAGTCTTGTGAAAATTCATTCCAAGAACTTAAGAAAAGATTGACGAGTGCCCCTATTCTCATAGTACCAGAACGTGACATTGGGTACAATGTGTATTGTGATGCTTCCAAAGAAGGTCTAGGGTGCATGTTGATACAAAATGGCAAGGTGGTGGCATATGGATCAAGGCAATTAAAGAACCATGAGAAGAATTATCCCACTCATGACTTGGAGTTAGCAGCCATAGTTTATGCACTCAAAATTTGGAGACACTACCTATATGGTGAAAAGTTTGAGATATTCACCGACCACAAAAGCTTGAAGTATCTGTTCACCCAAAAGGACCTAAACATGCGTCAGAGACGTTGGATAGAGCACCTCGAGGATTACCAATTTACGCTTTCTTATCATCCCGGCAAGGCTAACGTTGTAGCAGATGCATTAAGCTGCAAAAATAGAGGGATTGTTGCTAGCTTAGCCCTTAGAGAATGGAATATGATTGGAATGCTCAATGAATTTGGGGTACATATGGAGGTTCAAGATGAAAAGGCTTACCTTGGTGCTCAAATTGCTACGCCTAAAATTTTGAGCGAGATATTAGAATCACAACAGTACGATCATGAGGTGGCATTCATCAAGGCACGAATGGAATCTAGTGAAACCATGCCTGGTTGTGAAATTCACACAGATAGGAGTTTGAAATATCAAGGTTGAGTGTTCGTGCCGAGTGACGACTCACTAAGAGAAAAGGTACTTAAGGAATTTCACCATTCAGTATTCGCAGTACATCCAGGAGGTACTAAGATGTACCAAGACTTAACATGTCAATATTGGTGGGGCGGAATGAAAAAGGATGTAGCCAAGTTTGTGTCTCAGTGCCTGACATGTCAACAAGTAAAGACGGAACACCAAAAACCGGCAGGAACACTTCAACCTTTACCAATCCCGGAGTGGAAATGGGAACACATAACCATGGATTTTGTGACGGGTTTGCCTCGATCACCACAGAGACATGACGGCGTATGGGTAGTGGTAGATCGACTAACTAAGACAGCCCGATTCTTACCTGTTGGGTCATCAGATACGTTAGACTCACTTAGTAGATTGTTCATCAAAGAAGTGATCAGATTACACGGAGTACCAGTTAGCATCGTGTTTGATCGTGATCCTCGATTCGCTTCCCAATTTTGGCAGAGCTTGCAGAAGGCAATGGGAACGAACTTATGTTTTAGCACAGCATTTCACTCATAAACAGATGGACAATCTGAAAGGACGATATAAACCTTGGAGGATATGCTTCTAGCTTGCGTTATGGATTTTGATGGAAGTTGGGAGAAACACTTACCTCTCGTTGAGTTCGCTTACAACAATAGTTTCCAGGCCAGTATTGGAATGGCACCGTATGAAGCACTTTATGGGCGACCTTGTAGATCACTAGTCTGTTGGACAGAAGTAGGGGAAACAACCTTACTAGGACCAGACCTAGTTTAGGAGACCACTAAGAAGATAAAACTGATCAGACAACGACTAATCACAGCCCAAAGTCGACAAAAGAGTTATGCGGATCAAAGGAGACGACCCTTAACTTTTGAGATAGGCGATCATGTTTTTCTCAAAGTTCGACCTCATCGAGGTACTACGCGATTCGGAAAGAAAGGAAAACTTGCACCTCGTTATGTGGGACCCTTTGAAATTCTGAGCAAGGTAGGAGAGGTAGCATATCGTCTAGCACTACCACCACAGCTCGCAGCAGTGCACAATGTCTTTCACATCTCAATGTTATGAAAATATGAACCACACCCTTCACATGTTATCAATTGGGAGGAGATTGATCTCAATGAAGATGCAAGCTTTGAGGAAAGGCCTATAAAGATTATGGACTGATGAGAAAAGAACTTAAGAGGCAAAGTCATCCACTTGGTGCGAGTGTTGTGGTAGCATCGAGGAGTGGAAGAGTCTACTTGGGAAAGAGAGGATGCAATACGAGCCAACTACCCTCAGTTGTTTGAAGATAAAGGTATGTGTCAAAATTTTGAGGATGAAACTATTTAAGGGGGATAGGTTGTAAGAACCTGAAATTTTTTTGGACAACTAATTAGTTTATTAATAATAATATTAAGTCAATAAATTGTGATTATTAAATTATTAAATTATTATATTAATAGCATCATGATTAACACCAATATTAAATTCCTTGAAATAAATTTTTTTTTATCCTTTTGTGATTAAATTTTTGTATCTAAACACAGTTGTAGAAAACTAAATGAGTTAAATATATAATAACCAAGTTAGTTAGAGGATAGTAGAGAGAAAAACATCTAGTGACTAGGACATATATATATATACATTGATTTTCATTTTAAACATACAAAAAAAAAAATTCAGAATTTTTGGGTAGAGGAATCCGGCAATTTTCTTCCCAAAGGGCTGCTGCCAAAGCATGCTTAGAAGCATCCTACAAGTCTATCCTTGTAGATCATAATTCCCAAGCCAAGAAGAATAAAATAAATAAATAAATAAATAAAAAGGGGCCCGAAACTCCTACATAAGGAACCCACATTCAGCCCAGCCATTCTACTATTCACGTAGTTGAGCAAAGAAGGAAAAAGAGAGTAGAAAAGAGAAGAGAAAGAGAGGAAAAAGAGAGGGTACTTGGTGAATACCAATTTCAAACTTAGTTTTGAGAAGTGTTTGCAAAAGCTCTTGAGGTGAGAATACATCACCTCTATCCTCCATTAGATACCTCTAACTAAATTTATATAATTTATATATGCAAAGACTAAGCATGGCTAAGTCATATATAGCAAAATAGTACCATGCATGTTTAAAATTTTGATAGGATAAGGGTTTCATTATGTTATAATTTCATATTCCTTCTTGCAAACATAGATATATGGCTTAGCTACTGTTTTTATGTGTTCAATATTCTCCATCGTTGAAATAATCTTGCAAGAGAGTAAAATGAGATGAGAATGGCTTCCTTTTACCTGAAACTTATATTCTTCCCCACTGTTTCAGACTTTATTGGATGAAAAGAGGGCTCTAATAAATTGAAAATAATTGATGTTAAAAATCTATGAAGACTGGAAGTATATATAGGTGTTATACATTGTTTAAAATTTTTATAAAATCACTGGACACCATTTTCTTACCGAAACAAATATTTTCCCTAAGCGTCGCTTACAACACAGCAGAAGCAGTGGCTTCAAACAGGTCCCATTTTCTCTACAAATGGTATTTTTCTGTATGACCACTTGGAATAGTTAGATATAAGAGTTATCTTTCATTTGCCACCAATTTCACAAAAAATGGATAAGTCTAAAAGGAGAAATTGTAGTTTTACTAAAATGAGACAGAATCTGTCCAGTTTTCTTAGAAAAATTATTTGACCATCTTCCGTTGATTCTTAGTCTTCGAATGCTTCTAGAAATATGTTCTAAACTCAAGTATCTAACAAGCCATTCTAACCGTACCTCCTTTTGACACCGTTTGAGGCTTATTTTTATTTTTCCAACACAGAACACCTGTGCTGGAAGTATTTAACTCACTGCCCAAAAAAACCAGTTTTCTTCCAAAATTTATTTCTCCATTTTAAAATCGTTTTTAGCTCTGGTATTCTTCTCGGAATATTTTCCTAACTCAACGAACTAGCACCAGTTAAAATATCGTAATGGTTGAACATCGTTTGGTATGGGTTTCATATTTTTTTCATTTTTTTTTCTGACCATACAGTGCTGAAAGAAGAAGTGTGTGAATTCCTAAGAAATCTTGTGATAATTCCTAAGACATTCTATCATATTTATTTTGGTTGTCATACACGATTGTGTTGTGCTATATAAACATTATGTCACTGTAGTTTTCAAACTAAAACTCGTACATGCATCAAAATGTGAATTGGACAAAGTAAAGGGACACAGAATTGAACAGATACATTAAAATTTAAAAGTGATGGGGTAAGCCCGGTTTAGAATCTTGCGCAAGTGAGTTGCGAACCCTAACATGGCACGGGAAGGTATTTCGGTTCTTATCAGTACAGGCAATATAAGGTTGGTGGTGCGGGTGTCACAACATAGACCGTTCCCTTGGGGCAGACCGTGATGTCATGACTTGGGTACATAACTCTAGTGCGTGGGCATCATTCGTAGTTACAGTAAGTAACATTTGAATATTTGACCAAGGGGGAGTCAGAATTGCCCGTGGCCATTGCTTAGCGGTTGAGTGGAAATAGTGCTCTGTGGGAAGTTACTTAAACTTACCTGTTAAACTAAATCTATGTGAACTTAAAAACAGAGGTTGGCATTTTTCCTTATTATGAAATACTGCATCCGCTTGCCATTGTTTTTATTGTCTATTGTTAATATTTCAACCAATAGCATTCCGGTAATGTTTGTTAAATGCTGCTTGTTATTCTGTTATTACACAACATTTATTATTTGTGAGTATTATTATCGGGGTGGGTATTTTCGGGTTGTATTATCTTATTAAGCTCGTCGCTCATTGGCATTCCCATTGCCCTGGCATTTTATGCCAAGTATCGAAGAAACCGAAGGAAGCGCCGAGGCCTTGCAAGGCGACATTCAGCCTTGGATAGCTTGAAGAATGCCCAGGATTCCATGAACCATTTTCCTAGTTTTATTTTTATATTTGTGTGTTTTTTTTTTTTTTAAGACTAAGTTTTAAGTTTATTTGAAGTTGTAACTTAAGAACTTTTAATTTATGGGATGTTAGTTAATAGATTTTGGTAAACTTGGTGGCAACATTAAGGAAGAGTTCTTAATTAAGAAAATTAAAATTTTAAGTTCTAAATCTTACTATGATGTCCTTAAATTTTGGGGCGTCACAGACTCTACGGGGGTCACGAGCCTGAGTGTCTTCTCTACTTCGAGCCCTTTCCTATAGCACTGTACGCAAGTCTGCCGACCTAGGCAACTCCGTGTGCTTAGATGTTGTTTGGT